TTTATTTCAACAATTGATTTTTAACTTTTTTTTTATATATATACACACCTATAAAAGTCAGGGTGATTATTTTTATATACACACACACACACACACATATATATATATATATATATATATATATATATATATATATATATATATATATATATATATATTCCCAAGGGGATAGTAGAACTCAATGTCCAGGACAGAGTAAGAATATAATATAAAAGGCTCAAGCACTAATACTCCATGGTTATAATTTATTACATTGGAATTGTAATCACAATCCAAATCATCAGACCTACAAATTCGAAAAGATATTTTCTGATTTCTTTTTGAATTTGTAGGTCTGATGAATTGGATTGTAATTACAATTCCAATGTAATAAATTATAACCATGGAATATTAGTGTTTGAGACTTTTTTATTTTATATATACACATATTGAGATTAAATATTTTTGCATTACTCTGAACAATATCTTTCCAAAGATAATGGCCAGACATTTATGAAATTGGCTGTGCATAATTTTGCTGCCAAGAAAAACTGAATTTAGTAACCCACCATCTTTTTTTTTTCCTTCTTAGTTGCTTTGCATAGCTTAGTAAAATACAAGGTCTGATCAAAAACTATTCATACTGGTGCTATAAAATGAAAACTGCAACACATCAATTAATATCCTTTGAAGTATTTCCCCTCCTGAAGTCGCATACTTTTTTACATTCATGGAAGCATTTCTGAAACTTCTTTCTTGGGATAGCGAGTAGCTGCCCCATCATATTCACTTGGATTTTCTCGATTTCTTGAAATTTTATTCCTTTCAAGTGAGATTTGATTTTTGGAAAGAGTAAGTTGCAAGGAGAATGTGGAGGTTGCCTGACCTGGAGAATATTGTGTTGCTGAAAAACTGTTACACAAGCCAGGGTTAATGATGGTACCTCTATCATGTGGTGAGTGACATAACTACTCTGCATATTTTCCTTCCAAACACTGCAATAAACAATGAAATTGAGCAAGAATGTTATAACTTACTGTGCATTCATGACAGACTTCTAAGTCAATCTGTGCCAAGTGGTTTCACTATGCGTACTTTAGAGCCATTATTATAGCAAAAGCCTGGATACTTTTTGATTAGATCATATATGGCTAATGTGTTTGATAAATAAAGTCTTGATTTTCATGTATTTCTTTGTAAATTTTTACTTGTGAAAACTTAGAAAATTTGATTGTAGTGACATATATATCTCCAACAAAAAAACGAATATATATGTTGGGTATACGACAAATTTCCTGTACACATTCGCAATATAAAAAATTACTAATCGATGACACAACTATCCTAAATACTTGTACTAATGAACAACATATAGTTTTGTATTACTTGTACCCCTGAAGGTGATCTTAGAAGAAGATCGAAAGTGCTTGGGAAATGAAAAAAGAAATTTAAACAGCTATAGCATGTTTCTCTCATCCTTTAACATCAATACATGGAAAGTTATTCGTGAGTATGAACGGATTTTGTTAAAAATTAGCAGACATAATGTTTGTAATTTATTCAATCAGACATGCCTAAAAGAGAATTTGCTGCCTAAATACACAAGTGTGTGTGTGTGTGTGTGACATCCTGGTTTTGATCATGAAAGCAACTTAGAGAGGAAAGGAAATTGTTTAAAAGAAAATATTGTTTTGTTACATTTAGTGAATTATAAATTTATAGATTATTAGACCTTGGGATATTTATATAAGTAAATAAATTGTACTATGCCTTACACTTTGATAAATTACATATTGTTTTCGGTTGAGTGTATGGAATTTGTCATAAAATAATATACCAATTGACTAGGCTGAAGTGTATTATGATTGGTGTCTTCCCTTTTTTTTGGCTAGGACTAGGATTTAAATGGACAGCACCTTCATATGGTCACCACTCCTTTCCAGGACAACCTTTTAGCAGATGTACATTTACTATTACAGTTAAGCAAGAGAAAAAACAAAGAATTGTTCATACTTTGATCAAAGCAACAAATATTGTATATACTTGTGTATCATGTGACTTTTGAAGACCTAAATTTGAAGCTAATTTGACTAGAGTAAATGGATATGTAGTTTGGTCAGCAGTACATATGCTAATTTTATATCTCATGTATGATATGACCCCCTTAAAATCAGCTACAAAAATTAGGTCTTCAAAAGTCATGTGGTATGTGAGTATATATGATATATTGAAAATAACTTTAGTTTAGGATCCAGTCTGTTATTGTAAGATAGCTTGTGACAGTATTTCAAGACAATGTGGATTTTTCAAAAAATTTTAAATCCAAGTATCTTTATATCAGAAACAGATTTCTTGAATATAGGATGGGAATATTTTTATTACATGATTAATGTTAAACTTCAGTTTAAATTCATAAGACAGATGTTAAAACTTAAAAGTTTCAATTTAAACTAAAATTTTTATTAGCCTATAATTAACCTTTTGTTGAATTTCATGCATAATTACATATAACTTTACATGTCATGTAAAATATTTAATAATCTTTGGTGCTGTCAAACTCTGTGAAATTGTTCTACATAATATATAATTTGGTCAATGGTGTAGTCAGGACCAGCAGTACATACGCTAATTTTATATATATATATATATATATATATATATATATATATATATGGTGAGAATCACCTTTACAAGGCCCTGGGGCCACTCAAGATAGTGGGTTACATTAGGAGGCCAGTTGTGTGTATAGGTGAGAGAGATGACGATTAACCCTAACCTTTTAAGATTGCAGTGATCAGGGGGAAACATCCCGTTAAGAGTTGATTCCACAGAATAGTGGTTCGCGGGAAGAATCTGCTCAAGTGGAACTTACTGCTCAATTATGGAATATGGAGGGAATGTGGGTGGGGTTTGCCACTACTATGTAAGTGGCATGGTGTGTTCTTGCCATGAAGTTTTGCCTTGGTGGGGCCAAGGAATGTAGTTTGTCCAAGCACTTCCCATTGAAGTAGCAGTAGAGCAGCAAGAGGCTTGCCACGTCCTGCCTGTAAGAGAGTGGTTGAAGGGTGGAGAATAATTCATCAGCCACAAGGCCTGGGAGGTGTTTTTGAATTCTATTAAGGGTGGAGATAGATCTTGGCAGCTTCTACCCAGATACGACAACAGTACTCCATTTTTGGCCTGATCTGGCTCCTGTAAAGGTAGAGGATAGCATGAAGAGTCAGGTACTTACTTGAGCGGTACAGGGAGCCGACCATTTTACCTGCCTCCTTAGCAATGGATTGTATGTATGTGTTCCACTTGAGGTCGGGTGTGAGTTTGAGGCCCAACAGTCTTTCAAGGCAGAGTGCCATCCGAGAGGAACTCTGTTCATCTTGATTGGTGGTAGTTTCGGGTCAGATTGGCAATAATGGAATGTAACTAGCTTCATCTTTCAGGCATTGAATGTAACCATCCAGTTTTTACACTATTGAGTAGTTTGTACAAGATCAGAAAAGAGATCAGTCATCAATCTCTGGCTATTGAGGGTTTTAGAGGTACACCCGTCAGAATGTCTGACGCTCAATTTCTCGAGAGCAACTCTCTGCGGCTTCTCGGTCTCACGTCGACTGCTGACCCGAGATGGAATAAATACATTGAGTCAATTGCTTCGTCCACCGCAAGGAAAGTTGGCTCCCTGAGTCGCACCAGGAAATTTTTCTCCCCGGAGTCGATCCTCCAGATCTACAAATCCACAATTCGCCCTTGCATGCAGTATTGTTACCATATATGGTCTGGTGCCCCTTGTGTTTGCCTCGGGGTTCTTGGTAGGCTCCAGAGGTGAATTTGCAATGTAGTTGGCCCTACTCTGGCGTCTCGTCTACAGTCACTTTCTCACAGACGCACCGTCGCCTCCCTCTGCCTGTTCTACAAATACTTTCATGGAAATTGCTCCGAGGAGCTGCATTCGCTGGTTCCCATCCTGCTCTCACTCCTTCACTGTCGAAACTCCTAACTGTAGCCGTCTCTTCTACTCCAATAGTTTGTCTCGCACCTCTCGCCTGTGGAAGTCCCTTCCTTATTCCTGTTTCTCTGTGAGCTATAATCTCCAGCTATTCAAGTGTAATGTCAATCAACATCTCCAGTTGCCTTGATCTATCCACTACCCTTCTCCTCATCCTTTCTTCTATCACTCCTATTTGATCTTGCTCTAAATTTGTGTCCTAGTGGCTTCCCGCCTTGCTTGGGGTGAAATGCTTAAAAAAAAAATATATATATATATATATATATATATATATATATTCATCGTCATAGATGTTTACAAATGATCTGATTATCTTGTATGATGCAACCCTCCCCCCCTTTTAAAATTAGCTTCAAAATTAGGTCTTCAAAAGGTGCCTGATATGTGAGTATATATGCTGTATTGGACATTGACAGGGAGCCGACCATTTTACCTGCCTCCTTAGCAATGGATCGTATGTATGTGTTCCACTTGAGGTCGGGTGTGAGTTTGAGGCCCAACAGTCTTTCAAGGCAGAGTACCACCCGAGAGGAACTCTGTTCATCTTGATTGGTGGTAGTTTCGGGTCAGATTGGCAATAATGGAATGTAACTAGTTTCATCTTTCAGGCATTGAATGTAACCATCCAGTTTTTACACCATTGAGTAGTTTGCACAAGATCAGAAAAGCGATCAGTCGCCAATCTCTGGCTATTGAGGGTTTTAGAGGTACACCCGTATATATTCATATCATCGTCATAGATGTTTACAAATGATCTGATTATCTTGTATGATGCAACCCTCCCCCCTTTTAAAATTAGCTTCAAAATTAGGTCTTCAAAAGGTGCCTGATATATGAGTATATATGGTGTATTGGACATTGTAAATTGTTTGTCAGTCTCTTAGTTTCTGCCTGCTCTTGATACATTTTATGTTTAATTCATTTTGAAAATCCCATCTTTTGAATAATCAGTTTTAATTAATCAATAATGCTACTACTACTGAAAACATTTAAGATTTGTTTTGTTTTTGTCTTTCAGGATCAATAATTGTGTTGGCGAGTACAATCAGAAATTTTTCTTACAATTTCTATTTTACACAGGTCAGTATAAATATTTAATTTGCCTTTTGACTCGTGCTTAGATCTTATAATCCAGTGGTTCTTTGATCTTTTCCAAATCAAAACATCTTTAATTTATGAATGGCTCCTTTTAATGGTGCCTTAATTAAAGAAAATCCTAAAGAATTGCCTTTATTTGCATTATTTACATTTGGACTACAGTTCCCAACTTTGTTGTTACGATCAAAATTTTTCAGGCACTGTGCCTGCTCATCATCTTCACTTGTCGCATGATCCAGGTAAAAGGTTTGCCTATCATCCAATGCACACTCCTCCCCAGCCTTTTGAACAGAAATAGAGAGAGGTTTATCCCTCGTCTTTTGTTTAGGATTCGATTTCTGGTTTCTAAAGTCTTATTCTCTTTCACTCCCAATAACCTCATGTGTCTTAGTGGCATTATCACCTTGCTTGGAGTGAATTGATTAAAAAAAAAACAAAAAAAAACTTTCAAACTGAACCCTATTATTCACTCTATAAGGTTATATAGTTCTAGTTCCTGAGACATTAACAGCAGAATGGAAACAATCTTCCCCCTATAGATTGGATAAAGGATTCCGTTTTAAATTCCCTACAAATTACCTGTATCAAAAGACACATGAACAAGGACAGTGGACAAAATGTTGTGATAGCAACAACATAGATAAGGACATTAAAAAAAAGAAAAGTAAAAATAAGGGTATCAGGGATGAAAGTTCATTAGCACAGATCCAGATTCAGGGCCTTCTCACACTTTGAAGGAACCCTGCCTGATTGACCATATCTTCAGAGGTATAGTTATACTCACCATGCTTCGCCAATAGCAGGTTGAATTTAAAGTTGTCCTTCTGAATGGGTTACCATCCAAAACTATAGGATCTAGTCTGTCCTGCTATTTACTCATAGCTGGGAAGAAAAGAGATGAGTTCGTACCTTTCCTAAGGGTATTTGTACATAAGTGAATGTAACAAACTCGGCTGGAATTCGAACTCGGATCTCCATTTCATCAATCCAAGCCATTATCCATTACTCCACCGTGCCTCCTCAGACAGGTGTCTGACTAAATAATGTAAATAATGATAATTCCTCATCTTAGAAATTTAGACAGAAAAGTGCCTTTCTAATCATGTAGTTAGGTTAGTTAAGTAAAAATTTAATGAATCATGTTCTGTATATACACGTGACTTTTTAGAACCTAATTTTTAAGCTAATTTTAAGGAGTTCACATCACAAACGAGATGTAAAATTAAGGTATGTACTTCTGGCCCTGTCTACTTTGTTGACCAAACTATATATCCATTTACCTAGTGAAATTAGCTTCAAAATTAGGTCTTCAAATTTTGTATGATATGTGAGTATATACATATATGATAATTTAAAATGCGAAGACAGCATAAAAAAAAAATACTGTATATACTTGTGTATCATGCGACTTTTGGAGACCTAATTTTAAAGCTAATTTTAAGAGGGTCACATCATACATGAAATATAGAATTAGCATATGTACTGCTGGCCCTGGCTACACCATTGACAAAACTATATATCCATTTGCTGTAGTCAAATTAGCTTCAAAATTAGGTCTTCCAAGGTCACATGATGCACAAGTATATACGTTAATTTGAATAACCTTTCAATTTCTATTGACAATTTGTAATGAATAAACTTATTTTTATTTTAAACTCTTACTTTAATAGTTTGACCCCCCCCCACACACACACACACACACTCCACTGTTTAGTGGAGTTAATCTTCCATGAGGCCGGGTACAATCTGTGGCTAGTTACATGCAACTTGTGCTGAGACTGAACATAGTCCTAGACACAATCCTAAATACAAACCCTGTTTATTGACCAAGTGCCATCTGGTGGTGAAACGCTGAAGTTCAACACTAGATGGAGAGCGATTAATTATGTGCTTGTTACATATTATTTCCTATCATTATGATTGCATTGAATTACAGTTGCCTGAAATTTGAGAAAATTTGGTTTCCTGTGGGAGTTATTGCATGCATTTAGGGAATTGCTGTCCTAAGAAATAGATTTAACTTTTCCTACATATAAAGGGATCACAAGTTTTTTTTTTTTTAATCATTTCACCTCAAGCAAGGCAATAAAGCCACTAGGATGCAAGAGTTTACTGACTATTAGAGAATATGAGAAAAACTACTATTAAAGAGAGAGGACAATAAAAGAATAAGAATTAAGGAGACACAAGATAATGATTGACATTGCATTTAAATTTTTGAAGATCAAAGTTGAATGGGAAGCAAGAGTCTGGAAGAAAGTTCCACAAGTGAGAAGTGTGGTAGAAGAAACTGTTAGCATAGAACTTAGTTACTTGTAGCAATTTCAACAGTAAATTGACAATACCTTGCTGCCAATCTAGTACTGCACTTAAATTCATAAAGTCTAGGTACCATAGAAAATAGTTCATTAGAACAATTACCATGAAAATATTTATAGAAAAGGGCACAGGGTAGGACACATGGTGAATTCTTCTTTTTAGCAAAAATCTCTAAATATATAGCAGGAGCACCAGACCAGATGTGTCAGCAATATTCAAAGCAAGGATGGATGGTTGATATATAAATATGTAAGATAGATTCTGGTGAGAAAAATTGTCTAGCATGGTCTGGTGAACCAACTTGCTTAACTGCAGACCTAGCAATTGATTTAATATAATCTTTCCATTTCATGTCAGCTGAAAATGTTAGCCTGAGAAGGCGCAGTGAATCAATCTCTGAAGGCTAGCATCAGCCATGCTGATGGAAAGTAAAAAGGGTTCTCTCAGATGATTAAAAGAAAGTAGTTTTGTCTTTGAGGTGTTAAAATTAATAAACCACCCCTTGTGCCATTTAATAAGAAAGTGGGATTGATATTTCCTTATATATTCCCTCTTCTCCTCTATTCCTCACCATTTTCCTATTCCCCCCCTATTCCTCACCATTTTCCTATTCCCCCCCTATTCCTCACCATTTTCCTATTCCCCCCTATTCCTCACCATTTTCCTCTTCCCCAATTCCTCACCATTTTCCTCTCCCCCCTATTCCTCACCATTCCCCCCCTATTCCTCACCATTCCCCCCCCCCCCATTCCTCACCATTTTCCTCTTCCCCCAATTCCTCTCCATTTTCCTCTTCCCCCCCTATTCCTCACCATTTTCCTCTTCCCCCCCAATTCCTCACCATTTTCCTCTCCCCCCAATTCCTCACCATTTTCCTCTTCCCCCAATTCCTCCACACCATTTTTCCTCTTCCCCCATTCCTCTCACCATTTTCTTCTTCCCCTATTCCTCACCATTTTCTTCTTCCCCTATTCCTCACCATTTTCCTCTTCCCCCCTATTCCTCACCATTTCCTCTCCCCCATTCCTCATAATTCCCCCCTCCATTCTTCACCATTTTCCTCTTCCCCCATTCCTCTCACCATTTTCTTCTTCCCCTATTCCTCACCATTTTCCTCTTCCCACTATTCCTCACCATTTTCCTCTTCCCCTATTCCTCCCCCCCCAACTATTTTTCCTTATTTTTTCCTTATGCTAACACTTTGCTTCTGTAAAGTTGACTTCATCCTATTATTTACTCTGCTTATTTTCTACCAGGAATGGCGTGTATATTCACAATTTCCTTGGTTATTGTATCCTGGCTTTTGGATCCAGTTTCCAAGCGAGACTTCAAGCATTATAAATTGTAAGTAAAGAATTTCTTCACCCTTCTCTCATTGTTCAAATATGTAAAAGATCTTTATTTTCTTTTTTTCTTAATGAGAGCCGTTCTATCTTTTAACCTAAGTTGGAAGTGCCTGCACAGTCATCAAAGTTCATTTGACTTAATTTTAACTTTGACATTTTGAATTTTAATGAACAAATGACAACTTTTCATTTTGTTGCTGTAAATATATTCATAAAAAAATATTTGCTAAAACAGTTTTTTTTGTTTTTTTTTGTATATCACTCTTGCAAATAATTTATTTGATTAAAAAAAATCAGACACACGCTTTTAGTTTCTTAAGTGAGTATGCGACTATTATTGGAAATGGTCACTAAAGACTTTGGTAAAATAAAAAATGTAAAATAAAAGTAGACAACTCTAATTGCTCAGGGTTCTCAATTGATAGGGTGTCCCTGAAAGAGTAGTCGGGTGTGGTTAGTGTTTCAATATAGCCTAGTTCAATGTGAAATATTTGGAGTTTCTTTTATATGTCATGTCCCTTCAGAACTTGGGGGATCATGGCTCACCACAGAAGAAAAATTTCAATGTTTATTTTCATTATAGTCACAACTGAGATTAGACAGAAATGGTTATTGTGAAATTACGTTTTTTCTTTTTTTCTTTTAAATAATTGTTAAAATGACTGAGCTTGTTGTATGAACATAATAGGAGGTAAGAAGTGCATATTATGAAGAAATGCAAAACATCCACATAATCTGCACTACTTACCTCCTCCTCCTCCTCAGGTTTGTACAACAAAAGCTCATTCAGTAATCCTCTACTTTGAGTGTTTCTTTGGACTTGTATTGGGTAATGCTTATCTTGTTAATACTATGACTATTAAATTTAGGAACAATTTTTTATAGGTGGTACTTTAAAAATATAAAGTATGTTTTTTTTTGCTTCTATGTATCTTAGTACATTTTTTGATCCAGTGTATTTTACTTTTCTTTTTTTTTTTCACTATCATGTATCTTATCTCTTTTCTGCTTCCGTGTATCTTACGTTCTTTTTTTGATTCTGTTTATCGCTTGATTTTTTTTTTTTTGCTTTTGTGTATCTTCTCTCCTTTTTTATTTTTATTTTTTTTCAATTATTAGTATTTTTTTTTTTTTCAGTATTAAAAGAACTGGTATTATAAGCATAAAGAGCTGTGTCAATTTGTAATGCTTTACCCTTTTCCTTAAACTATTTTCTTTATTTTATTTTATTTTTTCCTTTTCAGATTGCATTCCATAGCATTAGTGGTCGAGTCGTTAGTATTTGGACTATTTGTAATGGCCATAGGATGTGATCAAGTGAGTAAAATTTTACTTGCACTTTTTTTTTAGTATAAAATAAAAAAAAAAAAAAAAAATGAAGCAAACCTACTCTTCTCACTTGCCAGGAATATAAAAAAATGTTACTATTTTTTTTTTGTTCTTTTATAAATGTACAGTAAGTGTGAAATGGTCTAGTTTATTTACTTGTGAATTAGGCCTACACAATCGGTTGAAATCTGAAATTGTAATCAGAAAAAAAAATGCATCTAAGACATGTCTAAGACCTGGTGGTGGGGGATGGTAAAAGCTTTGATCTGATCATTCTTCATATATGAATGAAATTATTTCAAACTGTCAGCATGCTAGCACATTACTTTTGAAAAATGTCAACAAGAACTGTAGGGTGTGGGAGCATCTAAGGATAAGAAACAGCCATTTTTGAAACTACTGCATGAAACTATCTAAACAAAAAAGATTTTTTTTCCCTCTACATATATTACCACATTTTAAGAAAATTTTTTTTTTTTTTTTTCAAAAAGCTGTTTTAAAAGTATTTAAAATTGAGCAGTCTTTTATACATAAAAGCAATATGCAAATTATATATAGCTATATATTTGTCTTTATATATATATATATATCCTGATTTTTAAAGTTACATGTTATTTTTACTTTTATTTATATTTTCTTTCACATGTGTATTGAGTACTTTCTAATACTACTGTTTCCTGGTGTGATTCAACTCTGACTATTAACCTTTTATATATATCTTTGTGTGTGTATATATATATATATATATATATATATATATATATATTGAGAACAATTTTAGGGGCTAAAGAGTATGAGAAATTGAAATAGATTTTGTGCAACACATTCTGTCCAATGCCTTGAGTGGATACTCATATTTGAATAGACGCTCCATTTATTTATTAAACAGTATTTTACATTTTTTTTTTTCTATTAGCCTGAATGCTTGAGAAATCTTATTAAAGAAAAATTTATGTTCTCTGGTAGGATTCGAAACTGCATCCCTCTTGACAGAGGAAGCTATTGCTAAATCCTCTGTTCTGACCTACTGAGCTACAGAGAAACACTTAGTTAAGCAAGGCTGAATTGCAGCTTTTAAGTAAAAATGTCACTCATCAAAGATCTCCAAAATTTTTTCATATCTACACAGTTTTGTATCCATCATAGACAAAGCGAATTTTAAAGAAAATAATGGATTTTTTTTTACTACTCTGACATCAACTGCTTGTTTGTTCATTTCCGCATGATAACAGAATTAGCGAAAAAGAAAGAAAGTAGGGAAAGAAAGTGTAAAGGGTAAGTAAAAAAGGTGAGGGGAAAAATGAAAAGCAGATTTATATATGGTAATAGGCATGGCCGAACTTAGGTCTTAACAAGCTCCTGGGTGAATAGAACTTAGGGCCCCTTTACTTACATATCCACTGTGTCTTTAAAAAAAAAAGATATTTTTAAATGATACGTTTTTTTTTCTTTTTTTATGTAATCTACTTTTTTTAAACAAAATTCATAAACATTACAAAGTTTTTAATATTTTAGACAAGATTTTTTTCAAAATTGCACAATTTTCCTTTTTTTTAATGTTTATCTTGTTTTGCACTATTTTGTTTAATTTGTACAATTTTACACTTATTACATGTCAGTGTTTAATGAAGTGTAAAATTGAGCAAAGTAGACAAAATTATGCAAAACTAAAAAAAAAAAAGTCTATAAGTATATAAAAAGGATGCATCATGCTTTAAATGGGGCCCCCATGGAATTTAAAAGACCCACTTCCAACTCAAGGGGCTCAAATACTTTAAATTGTTTCAAATTAATTCAAAGGAGCTTCATTAAATCTGAAAATAAACAAATGTCCTCTATTTTTATATCTTTATTTTCTTTTAGTTTTTAGTATTTTTTAAAATTTTATTTATTTTTAGATTTACATATGGACGAGTATGGTCTGTAGCCCATATGTAAATCCAGCACTAGTAATAGGTAGATACAATGGTATTAATATATAGATTAAAGCTATTTCCTTCCTCAGGAAATAAAAAGTTTACTTGGATTTATAATAATTACAAAATACCAACGTTGTAAATAATCCAAGTTTCTAACTGCCACCACAAAGTCCTTTTTATGCATTAATGTGCAGTCTTTTGTTTGGGGATATTTTTTTTATTTTTGTTAAAATGGTTTATTATGTTTGAAGTGGTTGTAAAATTACCCCTTTGGAATGCAGTCCTTATTTACGTCATTCTGCTGAAGGGGGCTTTGTTGTTATGCTTTTCTCTCCCCCACCCTTCCTAACTAGGATGGACCACTTCATCATGCATTCCAGAGTAATCCAAAATGTTGGTGTTTTCAAATTATTCTCCACATACAGCCAATTGCTATTCTTGAGTAATGTATTTATTGCCTTTTTTTTTATATAAAGTTATAATCTTTTTTTTTTTTTTTTTTTTTTCTTTGGCTAGATGTCATCTATATTTAATGATGAAACTGCAGTGGAACATGTTAAAAAAGAGGAATACAGACGCCCCCCACGAACAAAATACCAGTTATTACAAGATGTATTTGGAAGAGGTAGATTTTCCATCATTCTTTTTATTGTCTTCATCCTTAAAAGAATGTTTTGCATCTTTAGTTAGAACAAAACAGAAATTAAACTAATTGATTTACATTTAATTTAATTTAATTTACAGGCAAGGTAAAATTTTTAAAAATTAAGAAGACAAGTTAACATTTAAGAATATTTATTTTATACCTTGTAGCCATCACAGATTTTAAAAACATAAAACACTGATTACTACTTGATTTAATGAAGAAAGTAATTTAATTTTTATTTTAATTCTTAAACAGCAGTATCAGTTATTTACTCAGGTTGACATATGACACAAGGCCACTATAGTGGAGCACCCTATTGGGGTCAGATTAACTGTACTTGCAATGATCAAATGAGATTTGCTCCTGAATCATATATATATATATATATATATATATATATATATATATATATATATATATATAAATTTTTTTTTGTAGTGGAATCTACAGTTTAGTTTAGAACTGAACCAAACCACTAGACTCTTCACTGATCAAAGGAATGGTGCACAGTGTGCTGCAGAGTTTCCAAACAACTTTCTTCAGGTTTGAATTCAGTTTTCCTAGACTGGATGCCACCCAAGACAAGAGTGTCTAGTCTGCACTGTTATTGAAATTCTAGCAGGAGGAAGATGGATTCATACCTTTTCCAAGGGCATTAGTGTAAAGTTAATGAAGTGTGTGTGTATGTATGTATGTATGGGCGCATGGCTGAGTGGTTAGAATGTTCACATTCTAACCATGAGACCCAGGTTCAAATCTCAACACAACTGATTTGTCAAGAAGGACACTTCCTGATGTTATTTGTCTTGAGGGGGACGATCCCAGCATATGGCACCTTTGGAAAGTGCCTGAAAACTATACCATGAGTTGATCCAAGCCTTGTGACTGAAATTGGGTAGATGGAACTATTAAGGGCCATTGATAGCTGTGCTAGCACAAAGCCACAAGTCATCGTGGCTGAGGGCTTGAGTGTGCTGGCCTTGTTGATCATGCTAGATAACACTCTCTCTCCCAGAAACTGTAACTAAAGTCTGCTCAGCATAGTTGCAGTATAAACCACAGGTGGGCTTTATGGGTGTTGAACAAACACAAATGCACCTGAGCTAGCGTCTGCAATACAGATTGGCTAGCCACCCTAGTAGATGGATATCTTCAAATACAAGTGGCCAGCTATTATTTATTATTATGTATGTATGTTGTAGTAACTATCGAGGTATCACTTTGTTGGAGGTTGTTGGGAAGGTTCTCATGAGAATATTACTTAATAGGCTGGAAGAAGATATCTGTTCTGTAGCTATCCCAGAATCACAGAGTGGTTTTAGGGGTGGAAGAAGGACAATTGGCATGATCTTCTCTGCATGACAGATTCAAGAGAAACATACTGAGCAGAACATGCCCCTCTATCAGGTATTTGTAGATTTGATGAAGGCTTTCGACACTGGATGCTCTCTAGATAGTACTTATAAAGGTAGCATGTCCACCAGGGTTTATGGAAATAGTCAAGCAGCTGCACAGGAATATGAGAGCCTGGGTTACTTTCAATGGACAACTCTCAGAGGAAATCCCTATTGACAATGGCGTAAAGCAGGTTGATATTCCTGTTCCCACACTTTTCTCTATCTTTTTTTGCTGCCCTACTTGCGCATGCTTTTCAAGATTGTGATGAAGGCATCCATTTGTGATTCAAAACCACAGGAGAGGTTTTCAGTCTGAGAAGGTTCAATCCCAAGTTGAAAACTTTCCAAGCTTTGATTAGAGAGCTACTCTATGCAGACGACGCTAACTTCTCACCTCATACAGAAGCTGGCATGCAACATATTATGGGATGTTTCTCGCAGCATTTAGTCTAATGATAAGCCTCACAAAAACCAAGGTAATGTTTACTCTTGCCCCCAGAGAGCCATATATTGAGCCCAACATCTTTGTTCATGGAATAAGATTAGGGGTAGTTGAGAAGTTTGTTTACCTTGGCAGCACAATTACAAAAGATGGTTCACTGGATGCTGAAATATATCTCTGCATCCAGAAGTCGTCTGCGGTCTTTGGAAAGCTGGAAAGGGGAGTATGGGGAGCTTGTGACATTACCAACCATAACAAGGTACGTGTGTACAGAGCTTGCGTTCTGACAGTTCTTCTATACACCTCTGAAACTTGGACGCTACTCAGCAAACATATAAAAATACTCAAGCGTTTCCAGTAGAAATGCCTGAGACACATATTGAATGTCAAATGGCTTCTGCTTCTGCTGTCAGAGCCAATTGCCAAAGCATAGAAACTCTTGTAACATCTTCCCAAATGCAATGGACAGGGTACATAATTTCAAATGAAGGATAGTAGACTCCCAAAACAATTGTTTTATGGTGTGATGTGTATTGGAAAGCATCCTCAACACAAACCGAGGAAAAGATAAAAGGACTGTATCAAGAATAACCTAAAAAAACTGACATTTGATTTCAACAATTGGGAAGAGATGTCCCTAGATAGAACTGGATGGAAAGGTCAAATGAGAGATGGGTGTCAACTCTTTAAAGAATGTCATTTGGAACGCAAACGGCTGAAGTGGTAACTGTAAATGGGTGATAATCATGGACTTGACGAGGGTATCAAGGGCTGGACATGTGATTCCTGCCAGCATATACTTCTTTCAAAGGCTGGCTGGGTGAATCATGTGAAGTCACATAAAGAAAAAAATCACCCTTGACATTCCCCAGACAGACAGTGTCACAGCCTGCATGCTGTGTGACTAGATATGCACAACCAGCTGCAGACTGAAAATGCACATGGTGGTGCACAGGAATTGGGCATAGTGGTATGAATCCATCAAAGTTGTGGCAAGCACATTGTTCATCTGTCACTTGTGTGACAAGTCATGCAAGTTTGCAGCTAGCCTGGCAAGTCACCTTTGAGGTCATGCATGAGAGAGGTCAGAGGTGGGGAGTGAATATGATTAGGTGGCCATCATTTGTGAAGATGCGGCAGATCATCAGATATATATTGTAATTATTTTCTTTTTAAATATATGATTCCATTATGACACAGAAAATTTCCATGTTTCAAAACTGAAACTAAATTTATAAATTATTAAAATTAAACTTAAAATCCATAGTCTTGTTCCATTGTCAAGCCAGATGACTCACTGAAGAATGTAAATCCAGACGACTCGCTGAAGAATGTAAATCCAGACGACTCGCTGAAGAACAGAAGTATATGTTTGTTAGCAGACACCCTTACCCCACCTAAACTTAACCTGACTATATATTGAATACATAAGCTGTTTAGAGAAATTAAAACCTAACCACCCCTAAATTCAAATAGATTTTCCTTAACCTTAAAAATTCATATCAATAGTGTCTACGCTTATAAATTAAGTAAATTTCTTTGAACGTTTATTCCTATCATTGCTTGACAATGGAATGAGACGATGGATTTTAAGTTTAATTTTTATAATTAAATTTATAAATTTAGTTTCAGTTTTGAAACAGAAATTTTCTGTGTTGTAATGGAATCATATTTTTAAAAAGAAAATAATTATATTTTACTCTGTTTTGAGCACTGTTTTTTTTTTTTTTAAAATAAAAATAACTGCTAAGAAAACTGATTATAAATCTTATTGTTCTTTCTTATTATTTTAATAAGTGTGTATATATATATATATATATATATATATATATATATATAATGTGTGTGTCTATGCTCTCACACACACACTGATTGTAAGCAGATATTTTATTTTTATTCCATGTACTCATGTCATTTTAATTTCAAAGAATCCAGTATTAATAGCTGATGTATAGGGTGTTCCAAAAGTTTTGGCAACCGATCGACATCTAATAAGAGGCGGTGTTCAAAGTTGAATTTTGAGCACCCAGTGGAATCATTTTGTCTCCTTGTTTTGAAAGTGAGACTTGAAAGACAAAATGTAAATAGCAATTCAGCAAAAAGAAGAAATTCTGGAGGCTTTGAAAGTATGATAGCCTTATTCTAACAGAAATGATTGAAAAACATTAAAGTTGCACTCCATTGGTAAACTGCATCACCAGTGCATTTCAGTCGTGAAAAGCATAAATAATCTTACTTATTATAAAACGCAGATTGTGTGTGTGTGTGTGTACGTTTATATATTGGATCGGATTTCCTACATTTTTCAACCGATTTCAACAAAACTTCACAGAACTACGTAAAATTACCTTGCGGTGGTTCTGACAGCACCAAAAATTGGAAAAACACAATTGTTTTTGCACGAAATCAATTCGAAAACACGATAAAACACAATTCTGTCTCCAGAATGAAAGGGGGACAACTCATATTGAGTTATACTTATAAAACCCAGGTTGTTTTGTTAGCGGCGTGTGTGTTCGTTTATATATGGGATCAGATTTCCTACATTTTTCAACCGATTTCAACAAAACTTCACTTTTTTTTTTTTGGCAGGTAGTGTTTCTTATTGTCTTGCACACTTTTTTCTTTATTTTTACATTCAGAATGCTTTAAAAATTCTATTTACATAACAATTGTTTATAATAAAATTCTATTCAATCGGTAGTCTCATAACGATTGAAAACAATGTTTTTGTTTGAGTTTGGGTTTGACCAATTCGTAAAAAAAACCCAAAAAACAAAAAATAAACTAATTAAAACATGCGTGTCCATCAACCTTAAACAATAATCTTTGTCAATTTTATTTTTCAGTCTTTATGATGGTCGATACTTGATCTATCTCTTACTGTTACATCCCCAGGCAACGCCGGGCTCTACTGCTAGTGTTTACTAAATTAAACATATTATTAATTTGTGACCTTTTGAAAATTCCCCCCCCCTTTTTTTTTTCCTATTCTTCAATATATAGCAAATGAATAGAGTTTGTTTTTATCAAAACATTTTAAAATTGTTTAAATCTTAAAATTCTAGTTTTAAGTATTTATTTTATTATGGTAACTTTATTATTATGGTAACTTTATTCCTTTATAATCTTGTGAATGA